AGCTGCGGGTCAGGGTGCGGCTGCCCGGCGGGCAGGTGACGGAGGAGAGCCTGCAGGCCGACAGCGGCGCCGACTGCGTCAGCCTGGAGCTGCGGGCGGCCGACGGCGCCCTCGTCACGCTCACGGCGGATTTCAGACAGGTACGGGACGGGGGAGAGCATCCCCGGGGGATCGGGGCAGCGACGGAGCGGGGAGAGCATCCCCGGGGGTTTGGGACAGGTTTGGAGCAGGGAGAGCATCCCCGGGGATCGGGGCAGCGACGGAGCGGAGAGAGCATCCCCGAGGGTTTTGGGGCAGGTCTGGAGCGGGGAGAGCATCCCCGGGGGGTTTGGGGCAGGGACGGAGCGATGAGAGATCATCCCCGGGGGGCTGGGACTGGTCCGGAGTGGGGAGAGCATCCCCGAGGGTTTTGGATAAGGACGGAGCAGAGAGAGCATCCCCGGAGGATTCGGGCAGGGACGGAGCGATGAGAGAGCATCCCCGGGTGCTGCGGGGTCCCGCGGTGCGGGATGCGGGTCCGATTCTGGAAGAGAGCAGAGGCTGYGGGATGGGACCCGCTGCTCCCTGGCACATCGCGGGAGGGTCGGCTCAGGGCTTTTTGTGCATTCTGCGAGTGYTTTTTGTGGGATGAGCGCTGGGGGTGGCGATCCTTCCCGTCCTCTTCCAGACCCGAGTCCATCCCAACTCGGAACTTGGAAAATCTTGACGGGGTGTCCAGGAGCCAGAACCGTTTCAGAGGCACAGAAAGTCCCTCTCATGCGCAGGGAAAAGCCCATCCGTCCTCTCGCACCGTCGGGGGCTTTGTTTGGGCTCTCCCGCCCAGCTCCGGGACAGTTAACCGGGCTCGCTGTCCCCAGCGGTGTCACAGCCGTGACCGGGGCTGCCCGCGCTGCAAACAGCTGCTGAAAGATCCCACTGGGGACGGGAAGCGGTTTCCCAGCTGAGCCCAGCAGYTCTGATGCTCCTGGCTGAGCTGTGAGTAGCAGTTTTGGGTATTTCTGCACAGCTTTGCGTGGCAGGCTCAGCACAGCCGGGCTCGGAGCGGGGTCTGGGTGAGAGATGTTGGGCTGGGGGAGATCTCAGCTCAGGCTTTGGGATCGGGGTGTCTGTGCTGTGCTGCAGCTCTGGGATGTCTCTGTAGTTCCTTGGGTGGACTGAGGGATGTGTSTGACTGGCAGTGGCACTGACAGCACCCTCCCGGCGTGCAGGGAGGTGATTCCTGCTGAGCTAAAGCCCCAAATCCCTCATTTCTCCTGGGCACGGGGTGTGCCCAGCCCGGCTGGATGCARTGCCCAGGGAAGAGCCGTTTGCCCGGGTGGCCCGGCTGTGTTATCTGGTGTTATCTGGTTCCAAACCCCATCCCGGCTGTTTGCTCAGGCGGACTTTGCTTTGCAGCAGGAGGAAGCGCAGACCCACGAGATAGGAAGGTGCTGTGTCCCAGCCCGCTGTGAACCTTGGAGCCTTTTTGCCAGGGATTGTTCTGGTGCCTCTTCCCCTTCCACCTTCAGCCCCAGTCTCCCTCCCAGCCCCTCAAAGGTCCCTTTTCCTCTCTGAGGTGCCAGCAGAAGCCCTGGTGGTTTTAGAACCTCCAAACACTCCAGCTCATGTGGAGGGGAGCAGCCCTGTGACTCTTATTAAAGAAAATATTAAATAATTGTGAGAGGACGCGGCACAGCAGGGAAGTGGAGGGAGGAAGAGCTTTTAAGTCTGCAGGATTGCAAACTTGCACATTCCCAGGCGAGGGAAATCCAAACTTGCTACAGATCCTGCAGGGAGGTCCTTAGGGAGCCTGGGATGTGAGCTGGGCTGAGCTGGTGATTTTGTCATCATTTTTAGTTTGCTTCAGCTCTTTTTGAGAGCTCAGAACTCACCCACAAGCCCAACCGAGTGTGTGTGACCYCTTCCCTCCCTCCCATCCTTGTCAGAGTTTGAGTTTTTCCTGGATTTGGGCTCTCTGGAATATCTGGAATCCACAGCTCAAATCCTGAGCTCCGTGCATCCCCTCAGCCCCTGCTGGAATCCATGGCTTTGCAAGCACCCGGTTTGCAGCAGCACATTCCCGATCCTCACTTCTGGAGCAGCCGGGGCTGACTCCCTCTGCTCCACGCCTTGGGGAAAGGACAAAAAGGAGCGGGGARCTGGCTCTGTGGGGCGGTGAGCAATGTGTGAGCAGCAGCAGCCAAGCAGAGTTCACCCCTCTGACCTGCTGCAGCTGCACCCAGACACTTCCCTGCTCTGGCCGGGATTACACAACTTCTGCTCCACGCTGAAGGTCGTGGGGTTCTGAGCATTCCCAAAACCAGCTGGGGTTGTTGATCTGTGGGCAGGATGCTGGTTTTTTTTTTGGGTTTTTTTTTTTTTTTTTTTTTTTTTGTGTTTTTTTTTTTTTTTTTGGGTTCGTCCAAAGTCAGAGGTTTAATTATTTTTTTATTATTTTTTTTTCCCCCTCTCTGCTGGCAATTTGTGGTTGCCAGACCAGGGGCTGGAGAAGAAAGGAGCTAAAKGAGATCATTGTTCATTGCTCTGCTCCGGCGCTGGTGGGGCTTGAGCAGTGCCTGGGGCTCAGCAGGGCTGGGATTTTCATTGCTCTTCCACCCCTTTCTGCCCTCCAGAGCTGAATCTRGACGAGCTGTGTCCTCTGAGCTCACCAGGTTATTTTTCCTCTTTAGTGCAGCACAAACTGGTCAGTGCAAGCTCAGACTGGGACTCGGTGTTTTCTGGGCAGAGCAGGAGTGACCCCTTCTTTTCTTGCAGTTTGAAAGAAGGGAATGAAAACATTTYTTTTTTTTTTTTTTTTTTTTTTTTTGTGGTCAGGCATAAAATCTATTGCAAAAAATACTGAGGGGGCTCAGCAGCCCTTAATGTTGTGTCTGATGTGAGTGGAGCGATGTTAAACACGCTGAGAACAAAGTGGGTGGGTTTATTTCAAGGTCAGCGCAAAAATACAGAAAAGTTTCATTTCCCTTGTGATTTCTGGAAAAGTGGAGTTGGAAACACAAGGGAGAGAGGATGGGCTGTGTTTTAACCCTGGCACTGCCGGTCCTTTCAGAGTTCTTGCTGAGGAAGCTGATGTTGGGTGAGGTTTTGGGGTGGTGGTGTCAGAATTTCCCCATAGCAGGGGCCGTGTGTTTGGTGACAAAGGACCGGGTGACACAGGAAAGTGTCTGACTGCAGATTTTATCAGAGCGATTTGGAAAACAGGCTCTAATCTGAACAGATAGCAAAAGTAGAAAAAAGAGGGGCATTCAGGACCCTCTGGGAGGGCTCATTARAACACCCTGGTGTTTGTTATTCTGACTTGCACAATCTTATTTGTTGCACTGAAAATGTGCTTTTTTTTCCTCCCTCACCCAGCACATCCTTAATTCGCCTTTAGAGACACCTATATGATACAAGACCCCAAAATTCCTCATTCCAGCCATTTCCAGAGAGAGARAAGGGTTAAAACCATAATCCCCACCCATTGAGGCTGGCTCAGCTGGCCAGACCCCCGGTGTGGATGCAACACCGAGTTCCCTGTGCTGTGCAAACACGTGGAATTGTGGCTGGCTCTGCCTGTTCCCTGGGGCAAAGGCTGCTGCTGTCACCCCAAATCCCCATGACAAAAGTCACTGCAGGGTCCCCACAGCAGCCCTGATGTCCTTGAGGGAGAGAAATTTGGCAGCAAAGGCGAATGGGTTGCAGGGAGGAAGGCACTGAAATGATTTATTTCCCTGGGAACTGCTTTGCTCTGGCGTGGAATGGAGGCGCTGGGCTGCGAGCTGGACCACACAGGCTCCTAAATCCCTGCTGGAATCAACCCCAAAGCTGTTCTAAAACAACCTGAGCTGTTCTCACCCCCCAAATTCCAGCCCCTGCAGGAGCTGACTGAAGAGAGACAAAATTTGGTGATTTCCCTGCTCCTTTTTGCAGTACCTTTGGTAGGGACAGGCAGCCCCGGGATTTTGGGAGCTGGGAGCTCTGATTTTCTTGCTGCCTTTGAGAGCTGTTGTGGCCTTGCTGCAGGACTGATTGTCCTCGAGTTTTTGTCACCCAGCCCCAAGAGCAGCTGCCGAGGAGGATTCCCCACGCCCCCGCCGTGAGTTCACCCGGAGAGTCCCCGCTCTGCCCTGCTGGGACTTGTTCCCTGCTGGGAAATTCTGCAGAAACCCCGAGTTAAAGGTGCTCTACCCACCCACCTTGGCACTGATTCACTGATTTTCTTGCCGGGAAWGAGGTGAGGAGGCCGAGGAGGAGGGGAAGGTGCTCTCTTAGGGGGGAAAAGCTTTGGTGGCTTTTTCCCTGTGGGAAGTGTGGCATCATTTGGAAGCGGCGTGGTTTGGTTCTGAGGCTGCAGGGAGAGTGATCCCAAAGAAAAGCGAGGCTTTGGGACAGAGCAGGGAAAAGAAAARGCTGATTTTGCTCAGGAGAGAGTGGTCACTGCAAGGTCCACTTGGGCTTTGCTCAGAGGTAAAGGTGGAGTTTCTCCCTTCAGAACAACCTGAGCCAGATCCAGGAAAAAAACAGCTTTTTTTTAAGCTGATCATGGCTCCTTCTGCCTTTTTTTTAAGCTGTTTTTTGGCTGTTCCAATGCTGGCTGCTCTGCCCATTCCTGCATCTCCCTTGGTGTCAACAAATGCTCTGGAAATCCCTGGAGTTCAGGCAGAGGGGAGTTGTGAATTCCTCGTCTGCATCAGCCCTGAGGAGGAAGGAGCCGGCTGGCTGAAGGCTRATTCCTAAATAGACGGATCAGGAGGATTAATCAGCTGCTCAGCACGTTCTCATTTTACAAAAATTGCCTCCAACCTGGGAAGTGCTGCACTGTTTTTAATCTCCTGCCTGTGGAGGTTTTCGGCCTGAATGCAAAACGTGGCTCTCCCCCTGCTTGCTTTTTGCAGACTGTTCAAAGGGAATTAGAATTAAATCCGCAGCTGAGGAATATGCTGGAGTCAGCTCCTGGTTTTAGTCTGTTCATCCATGGGCTCTGCATGCTGTGGGAGCTCCCAGCTGGGAGCTGGAAGGCAGCTGGACTAAATGGAGATGGGGAATGTGGGTTTTTCCAGTGGTGCCAGTGTCTCAGTGGGACATGTCCCCATTAAACGCCTCAAAAAAACCCCATAATGATTCCATAGCAATTTTACAAAAATTTTTGGTATCTGTTTCTTCTTGAGAAGAATACTTCTTTACAGATACTTTTTTCTCCTCCATGTGCTGCTCTTGGTCGTGGAGTCAACAAATGCTCCAGCAAAATGATTTCTGCTGTCCTGGGGGCAGAAATGCTGTTCCAGATGTGCCCTGARKCGAATTCCCTTTTCTCTTGTGGGCWTGGGAGAAAAGGCAGGGAATGAGAATTCTGTGGGCAGGAAAGCTCCTAATGGAAAAGAGAACTGCTCCTTTCTGAGGCTGAGAGGGGCTGGGAGGAGCYGGGCTGAGGAGCAGGAGCAGCTCAGAGGGATGTGAGCTCGCTGCTCTCCAGTCTCTGTGTCACTCCTGTCCAGCTCTCAGTGCAGAGGAAAGGCTGCAGGAGCTGCCAAGAGCAGGAATTGCTCTCCCTGTTCCAATCCTGCTCAGCCCATGGAGTTGGATGCTCTGGCACCGAGGGAGGGGATGGCAARTTCCCACAGAGGGCACGGGTGGCACTGAAGGCACAGCCTGAACTGATCCCTGCTAAGAAATCTGWGTTTGATGCCAGAGCAGCGCACGGGGAGCCTTTGCTGCTGCCCAAGGAATTCTGTGAAGTCACTGTGACTGATTCCAGTCTGTTCTGGACAGGACTACAATCCYTGTTGTATAAAATCACAAAATCAGTGACCTGGACAGAAAAGGAGGTTGGCTGCTGATTGTGACAGCTCCTTCTGCCTTCACCAATTTRATTTTCCCTTCTGTTCACATGCTGGTGGGTTCAGGGGTGAGGAACTTTTTCTCCAGGATGCCACTTGTCAGGGAGCCAGGGAGGGAAGGCAGTGGAGGAAATTTGGGGCTGCTTACTCAGTAAAACATGAAGATGATGGCTCTGTGGTATTTGCTCAACAAAACCAAAGGAGGCTCTTTGGTGTTTTGCTTCCCTTCTTGGGAAAGGACAGAATCCCTCAGTGCTGGAGTGGGATGGGACCTGGCAGCAATTTGTCCWTGTCACAGTGAAAATCCCTCTGCAGATCCTGGGGATTCTGCTGCAGGCTTTGGGGTGGGGTTGAGYCTGGCACCGCACCCCTGTGCTCAGGTAGCACAAATATGGGACCTTTAGCTTTGTTTTGGGGCTGGAGTGATCCTTTTTGACCCCACCCTCTCAGGTCACCTCACTGATGGCAGAGATTCGCAGCTCTCACTCCTGGTATTTCTCTCTCCGACAGGAGGTGAAGATTTTCCGTGCCTTGATCCTYGGGGAGCTGGAGAGGGGCCAGAGCCAATTCCAGGCCCTCTGCTTTGTGACCCGGCTGCACCGCAACGAGATCATCCCCAGCGAGTCCATGGCCAAGCTGCGCCAGGTACGGGCTCCATCCTCCCTCCAGATGGGAATTCTCRGGATTTTCCTGCCTGGATGCCCTCCCTGGGTATTCTGCTCTCAGACACACTTCTGATTGCCCCTCCTGCTTGTGGGATTTGCTRTTAAACTGAGCTTTTCAATGGTGTTGTTCTCGTTCTACCAAAGTGCTCGAGGTTTAGTCGAGCCGCGTTTATGTCAGGATTTAGTTGAGCCTGATTTGTGTCAGGGGTGGCTGTGAAAATCCCTGATGAAGTCAGTGCTGACCTGGGACCGTTTATTGGGACAAAACACGGARAAATGGTCACAGGCAGAGGTGAACWCCRTGGTTTCAGCACCAGGASGTTTTTAAAGTKCMTTCCCTCRAAGGTGCACATCRCAATGTGGTGCACCCAGGGGTGAAATTCTGGTGATTTCCCCTGCAGAAAAACCCCCGGACGGTGCGGCAGGCGGAGGAGGTGCGAGGGTGGGAACATCTCAGCATGGACGTGGCTGTCAACTTCAGCAAAGGAGCCCAGCTGAGCTCCCACATCCACAACGTCTGCGCCGAGGCCAAGGAGGCCATTTACACCCGTGAAGAAGAYGTCAAATTCTGGCTGGAGAAAGGTGAGTTCCTGTGGTTCCCCTGGAGCTGGGATGGCTCCTGACAGCTTTCTGGGGTTTTGAGGCACACGTGTCACCCTGCAGCATCCTCTGTGTTAGCAGGCTGGAGTCTTGGTCATGGAGATCTCACTCCTGCTGCTGCTGCTCCCCCGGTGAACCTCATTTGGGRTTTGGGGTGTAACCTTTCACCTTCTCCATTGCCCAGAGGAAATATGTTGGGTTTATGTCTTTTGGCTTCTTTTGCCATTGCTCCTATGCAGATTTGACACTTCCAGCAGTCCCTGGAAACGCTTTTTCCAGCCTCTTCCTCAGCCTGGGGGTTGTGTGGGGACAGCAGTGCTGGTTTTGGTGGCTYTTTCCCTTGGCTCTCCTCCATCCTGAGGGATGTCTGTTCGAGTGCTGCTGCAGGGCTCAGACCTGCTACACCTTGCTTTCTTGGGGTCTTTTGTTTTCCTGTGGTTCCTATTCACATTTAAGTCTCTATTCACATGGAAACGCTCCGTCCAACCTCCTCCTTGACCTGGGGGCCATGTGATGGTGCCTTTAGAGGCTTTTCCCTTTGGCTCTCCCCCATCCTGAGGGCTGTTTTGGTGTTTCCTCCCGCAGGAGTGGGCAGCTCCATGTTCAAGGTGCTGCCACAGAGTTCAAACCTGCCAGACCTCGTGGTTCTCCCATAGTTCCTTTTCAGATTTAACTCTCTGGAAACGCTCTGTCCAATCCCCTTCTCAGCCTGGGGGCCATATGAAGATGCCTTCAGTGCCTCTCTCCTTTGGCTCTCCCCATCCTGAGACCTTTCTGTGCTTCCTCCCGCAGGAGTGGACGGCTCCATGTTCAAGGTGCTGTCACAGAGCTCAGACCTGCCAGACCTCAGGGTCTTTTTTTCCTCATGGGTCCTATCGACATCTAACTCCCTGGAAAATCTCTGTCCAATCCCCTTCTCAGCCTGGGGGCCATGTGAAGATGCCTTCAGTGCCTCTCTTGTTTGATTTTCCCCATCCTGAGACCTTTCTGTGCTTCCTCCTGCAGGAGTGGACGGCTTCATGTTTGAGGTGCTGCCACAGAGCTCAGATCTGCCCGACCTCATGGTTCTTCCATGGTTCCTTTTAAGATATAACTCCCTGGAAACGCTCTGTCCATTTTCTTCCTCAGCCTGGCATGGCTTTAGTGCTTCTCTCCTTTGTCTCTCCCCCATCCTGAAACCTTTCTGTGCTTCCTCCCCCAGGAGTGGACGGCTCCATGTTCGAGGTGCTGCCGCAGGGCTCGGAGGTGCCGGAGCTGCCGCGCTGCCGGCGCTGCCCGGACCGCTGGAAGCCGTGCATCTGCAGCTACTCTCTGAGCCTCGAGTGGTACCCCTGCATGCTCAAATACTGCCGCAGCCGCGACGCCGGCGGAAAAGTGTCCTCCTACAAATGTGGCATCCGCAGCTGCCAGAAGGGCTACACCTTCGACTACTACGTGCCTCAAAAGCAGCTCTGCCTGTGGGATGAGGAAACCTAGAGCGGGGCCGGCCGTTCCGGGRGCAGCTGGAGGGAGGAGAGCTGCTCACGGTGGTGCTTTGTGCCGGGAGGGCTCTGTGTGTGTGCCTTGCCTYKTGTTCTGTTGGGTGCTGTGCTCYKCTGYGGCTCCCCSGGAGCAYGAGGTGCAGATTTTGGGGTGAAACGCAGGGAAAGGGGTGAATCCCAGCCTTGAGCAGGCAGAGGAATGGTCGTGCTGACCCTGTGGTCAAACATCTCAGCCACTGAAGAGCCCCCTCGCTGCCCTCTTGGTGACACAGCAGCGAGGGAACGGCGGATTTTGGGGACCACACTCCCTGAATGAGGAAAGTTTGAATCCCAGCCAAAGCAAGAGGCTGCCTGTAGCTTTTCCCAGTGCCTGACTGGCTGTTCTATCCTCCCTGGATGGAATATCCTCCCTGGCTGTTATATCCTCCCTGTGGATGGAAGATAAAACAGGGGGATATAGCCCAGCATCCTAACGGGCTGCTAATTAGGGCTCTAATTAATCCCTGTTTAGACTAGCAAAGGCCCAACGTTTTGTGTTGGTCTTGTGACTCTTCCACTGAGAAARGAACACCCAGAGACTGGTGAGTGCCACCACAACCCCGTGGCTGCAAGGGGAGAGGAGGATCCCAGGTGGGTTTTGGAGAAGGATTTTACATCCACGTGCAGTTCCGTGTCCTGCTCTGCCAGCTCTTCACAAGAAGCTCTTCAATAACTCTGCTGCTTTGCTGTGCCTTGGTTTCCCCCTCATGTTACACAGGGATGGCAGTGAAGCTGTCCTTGACCCTGGAATATTCCTGGAGGGATCAGACAGAAAGCACTGCAAGTGCTGCCTGGTYCTTTTTCACTCAAATTAGACCAAGCACAGAGGGGAGAGAAGCTCTTGGGGTCTTTAGGAACCTCTGTGCCTCCTGGTGAAAAGCCTTCACAACGTGCCTTTTTGCCTAAAATGCAGGAATTTTTGACAAAAAGAAAAAAAGAATAATTTGGTCGCAATTATTTTTGTATCGATCACTTAAGGGGGGAGGGGAGGAGAAGGGAAAGGTATTTTAATATTGGAACATGAAGTAAAACACACTTGAAATAATTTTTTTTTTTAAAAAAAACAAATTATTTATCATTTGTAAGGTAAAATAAACTGATTTTTTAAAGCAACCTTRGCCTAAAAGTTTTGTTGTGCACGATACTCTGTGTGTGATGCAGTTTGGGTTCCTGATTAGGGTTTTTTTTTCTTTCTGGATAAGTCTCAAACCCGCATCTGGTGAGGAGCCATGGATTGGGGGAGAACATGCAGGAGTTTTTGGCACTCAGCAATGTGACCCCACATTTCAAACAATCTGCATCCTTGCAGATCCTCCATCCCCAGCGGTGGGGGGAGCTTTGAGCTCAATCTCTGCTGAATAAACCCAAGGGTAGGAGCAGTTTCTGGGGTCTGGGGGCTGATCCTCTCTCCGAGTGGTCCCGTGAGATTTCCCTGAGTCCCGTGAATATTCCCGGTGAATTCCTCTGCAGCTCCAGCTGATGTGGGCGGCACTTTTGGGCCAGCCCAGAGCTGCCTGTGGCTGCTGGAGGGAGAAACGTGGAGCTCTGATTCCCTCTAGTGTGGAGAATGCAGGGATGGGACGGGATCTTCCTTCCAGCAGTTCTCCCACCGACAATTCCCCTTTTCTGGGGAAGGGGAAACSGGGATCTGTTCTCTGCTGTCTCAGCTCCTGCTGCAGCAGGACACGGGGGGTTTTGTCCCTSTTTTTGGGGTTAAACCCAGCTCTGGGGGGGCTGTGAGCAGGGTGGGAGAGGATTCCAGGGATTGCTGCCGCACGCACAGGGATGCTGGGGCGGACACAAGCCCGCTCTGGGAGGGTYGGGTCACATCCCAGCGAGCCCAAATGGGTTTTATTTTGTAATTCCGAGCCTCTGGAGCTGCCGGGACCCGGTGCAGTTCCCCGGCCTCCAGCAGTGGGTGCTGGCGGAGCGCGGCTGTGCCCGGCCGGTGTCGGGACAGGGATGCTCCAGGTCCAGCCCGTCCCTGCAGGATCGCGGGATCCCCCCAGCCCTGCCAGGAGGGAACCTGGGCGATTTTTGCAACGTCTCCATGCGGTTTTGTGCTTCCAGGAGCATCCAAAGGCCGAATCTCATAAATCAACAGAGCTCATCCTCCGAGGGGGGAACGAACATTGGCAGCAGGCGAGGAGGAGCACGGTGCCTGCAGTGAGGAGGGGACAGATCATTGGTGACCACCGGGAAAAAGAAAGAGCAGCGCCTTTGATGGGGTCTGGGAGTGATTTCAGCAGTGGACAGAGTRAAACCAATCCTGCCCTGCCTGATGTTCTTATTTCCACAGCAGAAAGGAGCGATGCTGCTGTGATCCATCCCCWGTTTTTCGATTCTTTCTCGCCCATCACCGAAGCTCAGGGTACCCAGGGGAAGGGCTTGGCTGCCACAGCTMTTTGGGCAGAAAAACACCGAAATATTCAAAATTTTCCCGCCGTTTTGAGCACAAAATAAGAGTCAGAAAGAATCATTCTGAGCTGTGTTTGGGGCCAGGAGAGGGCACTGGTGCCTGCCCGTGGCCGGGACAGCATCCCTGCCCAGAGGATGCCCGGGATTCCTGTCCGGCTGGAGATGCAGATCCGCCTTCCTGGTYCGCTCTGGAGAACGCGAAAAGCGCCAGGAAGAGCAGAGAGAGGAGAGAAACTCCTGGTCTGTGAACAAAAGGTGCTCTGATGTGGCGGAAGGACAGCTCCCGTGGTCCCCAGCCTTTCAAACTGGCTGCGAGCCACCGGCAAATAAACTCCCGTTTGACGCAGTGAAAGACACCCGATCACGTCAGCCCTGGGGATGGGGAAAACCCAGACAAAAACASGAGAAAAGCGAGCGGCAGCTGCCCAGGAACGCCGCAGGGCTCCGGGCCCGAGCGGCTGGGCGGGCTGGGGCTGGGTGGCAGCGGTCCAGCCCTCCCGGGTGCCACCCGTGCCAAGCGCCCCGTGTCACCTCGCCGCTTCCTGGAGGCACAAATCTCCCCGGCCCTCAAGTGTCAGTGTGACCCGCCAACCCCCGGCTCCCCTCTGCTTTTTTTCCTGGAGTTTCATGGAKCTCCTGTCCTCCCATCTCCCGGGGATGCCCTCCCTGACCACGCCGGCCCCGCAGCTCCGGACTGGGCTGGAGGTGARGCTGGAGATCCTGCCCGCCCACCCATCCCTTCGGAGAAACCTGTCTTTCCAGGGAGGGAGAGCGGCATGTGGGAAAGCCGAGCGCCCTGGAACGTGAATTACCCAGGGAGAGATGAATGTGTGATAGCTTGTACCTGGCAGCTACTAATTGAGCGTTAACGCTTTCAACAGGGGCTGGAGCCCGGCCCGGTCACACGGGTGTCCCGAGGGGTGCTGGGGTCACCAGGGTGGCACCAGGGAACACCCGTCGCTCTGTCCCTGTTCCTGTCCCTGTCCCAGCCCAGAGCGTAGGTTGAGGTTCTGGCTGAATTTCTGCAGAAGAAGSCAGCGTTAGGGGATTTTTTCTGGCCTGGCTTCTTTGGAAGTTGGTAAATCCTGCAGGGGATGAGGAGGGAGAGGCTGGCTGCCACTCGTTAGGGGACACACGTGTGGGGGAAGGGGGGTGCCCATGTGCCAGTCCTAACCCTGCTCTTCATCTCCAGCCAGAACAGGTTTATTTTTTTTGTTTTTAACTTTCCCTTTTGTGCTGTTTCACGTGGCGCCGAGGTTCAGCCCAGACTGAGGGCACAGCCCCAGTGCCACAGGCTGCTCCGGTGGCTCACCGCTGATATCAGAGTGACCGAACAAAGCCGTTCCTTCCCTCCAACACCTTCCCCGAGGGTGCTGCCCAGCCCGGCTGGGTGCCTCGGCCTCTCCGAGCTGCTCGGAGCCGAAAGGGGGCACAGCAGGGATTTTTGGGGCAGGTGCTGCGGGTTCCTGAGCTCGGCCGAGGGCGGGCGGAGCRGAGCGGAGCAGAGGGGAGCGCCTTTCCTTCCTGCCCTCCTTCCCACCCCACCCCACCCCACCCCGCAGCCTGGCAGCGCTGCAGGGACTCATCCATTCCCGAGTTACTAATATGCAAATGGGCGCTTTTGCATGGGCCTGACGCCAAGCTGCTGGGTGTCAGGGCACCCGAGGGAGCCGGAGGTGGGGCGAGGCGTGGCACCGMGCCGCATGCTCACCTGGCCCTGCATGGCAACAGGCAATGGAGCTCTAGGTCCCTTCGGCAGCGGACCCACGGCCGCTTCGAGAGGCAGCGGGTGGCAGAGGAGGGAGGSCAAACTGGCAGCCCCTGGCAACCTGGGGCTGACGGCAGGAGGCTGGGCACACCGCGGATTTCCCCCCGCCGGCAGGATGGTGAACCTGGAGTCCGTGCACGCAGGTACGGGGCAGCGGCGCCGGGGAGCAGCGCGGGGCTGGGGCTGTGGGCTCGGCCAGGAAATTGGGCTGTTTTGATCGCCGTGACCTTTCCTGGCTCGTCACCCTCCTCTCCCTCCCGCCGGGGTGCCCGGTGAAGGGCCCGCGGTCCTGCCGGGGGATGGATGCTGCCCCGAGCTGTTCAGGGCGCTGCCAAGCCATGCCCACACAAAGCGTGGGTCAGGGGGCAGCTCAGAGCTCTGCTGGTGCCTGGAAAATGAGAATTCGGAGTATCCTGGCAGTGGGATAAAGCTGGGAGCAGGGAGAAGGGATAAATCCACGGAGGGATGCGGCAAGGGTGGAGGGAGGGAGGTGTTTGTGTGAGAGTGAGATGGGACACGGGCTGAGAGGAGRAAAGTTCACGGCAAAGGAGGGAGAAATGAATGAGGAGGGAGTGAGGGAGGCTGGGTTGAGCCAGGAATGAATGAACGGAGACGCTCAGGAGCTCCTTCCAGGGGATCTGACCCAGAGGGGCAGCTCGGGCCCTCTCACATCCCCCCTGAGCTGCCCCCCGCCCTGCAGGGAGCTGGGCAACCAAAGCCATCCCTGGCAAACGCCCCGGGGCCGCGCTGAGCCCCGGCTCACCCCGACAGAGCCACCTGAGCTCAGCCCGGGGGCAGGAGCGCATCCCCGGGCACACGGAGCTGCAGAGGGAGCAGCGTGGGGACAGCCAGACCCCACAGCCCAT